CTTTCCTTTCCTTTCCTTTCCTTTCCTTTCCTTTCCTTTCCTTTCCTTTCCTTTCCTTTCCTTTCCTTTCCTTTTCCAGAGATTGAACTCGAGACCTTGGGCTTGCCAGCCAGGGGCTTACGCCCCTGGGCTCCATCCAGGGCCCAAGGGTTTGTTTCTTATCCAGGGGCACTTTCTTAAGCAACATTAAAAAAGTAAGGAGTTGGGACATTATTCCCCTCCTCTCCTCACCGCTGGACCACTAAAGAACAAGCATCAATAACCTGAAAGGAACAGAGAGGGAGGCTAACAGAAGGCAGAATGAAAAGTAACCAGGGCCCGAAGCACCCACGACGTGCTCGGGGCACCTTGCACGCACACGCACGTTCTTATGCACTGTCACATGTAGCCCTCAGAATTAATTCCATAAGTACAACACTGCAGAATTTTACAGTCGAGGACAGGGAGGCTCAAGAAGCCAATACCAGATTATTTTTAAAAGACATGTCAGAAACACATGTTCTGAAGTATCAAGAAAGCAAATGGATCCTCTAAATCTATTCATTTCCCAAATAATTCTGGAGTCCTTAAAACTTCAGTAAGTAAATACACCGCCACGAATTAGCATTTCCACTTTGTAATAATTTCTTCCTTTCATTCTTCTAAGCAAAACACCCAAACTATGATCATATAAGCAAGAATCAGTTTTCAGTGATAAAAGTGACAGACAGTGCTCAGGAAGTTTGGCTACTGAGATTCTCATTCAGTGGACAAACACATCTCCTGGCATCAAAATCATTATGGCTCATTATGAAACGCACAGACCATGGAAATCACTGGGATTTCTAGCACTGCATAAGACGCAGGTGTGTGCTCTGATCTGTTTCGAAGCTTCAAGGATCAACAGACGTAAGCACTGTACAACTAAAGCTTGCTTTCCTATTTTACTTACGTCATCTGATTGAAACTCTGTACAATCTGTTAACAGCTAAGGGTGCTATTCATCTTTCAACATCTGGGCACTTATAAGGCTTTTCATTATAAGGCTTATTATTGTCCAATGAGCTGCAGTTTGGCATTTCCTTTCAGAGCACACCCACCCTGATTTAGTTGTCTGATTTCCATCCCACATATGAATTTATTTGAGGTTAACTACACAAGTTCAGGTGTTTACTTTCTGTTTCCTATTGAGAAAAAAAATCTAGAAGAAAAACATGAATAGGAAAACAGATTCAACTATAAAAGCTAAATTTCACTAGACTACAGCATACACAAAGTAAAACTTCATTTCAGTAGTTGACTGCGTATTGTCAAGGCTGACGGTGTGGTTCAAAGCGCTGGTTCCTTCATGTGATAAAATCCTGTACTAAAGTGCTGATAATTTTATTAGTTTCTTCTTTAATTGTTTGCAATTCTTTTAACATCTAGCAAGTTAAGTCTTTGTTTTTATTTTTATTTATTTTTAAGTTAAGCATTGCTATGTTTTGTGTTCTTTCTCACTGTGCTTCCAATCCGTTAAAGACAGACTTGGGAATGAAACTTCAAATGCAATTCAGGGAGATGTGACATGTTATCCAATGAGGGGCCACCAAAACTATATGGCTTTCAGCAAGTGAAGACCAAAAGCAGTGACGCAGAATGCCACCCAGTCCATTTTCTGACAATGGCATCGAG